TGAGGAGCATGGTTTATGGGGTGAATCTCTGTGCCTGTTTCCATGGGACTGAAGGAGTTCCCAGATTTTCAGTTTACAAGCTGGGCCAGTCTTGGGCAAATTGGGACCAGTTGGTCACCCTACCAGGCTGGTCAAATCTGGGAACCACAAGCCAGCTGCTTTCAGGGTTGGAGACACTTAGGAAAGCTAGGGTCCTCTATAGTCACGGTCATAGCTGCTGAGTGAGAGGAGGAGGGGGACATGGAGGGAGGGAAGAGGGGACCAAGTCCCCCAGATCCAGGAAACCCCTTCCTTCAGCAGTGTCCCTCCAGCGCCCTCTATTGACAAAGCTTAACATAGTGCTCATTGCAAAGGGACAGCAGGCACTTAAGGGTGAGTTTGGAGCTGAGCATTAAAAAACCAGTAAGTGGCACGTGTGTATCATTGATTTGTTCCTTTTTATTGCTGAGTAATATTCCTTTGCATGGTTAGTCTACGTTTTGCTTATATATTTTACTTCTTGATGGACATTTGAGTTGTTTCTAGACCTTGGAGTATTATGAACAAAACTGCCATATGTATTTCTAGAGGTTACTTTTTAGGATTCTCTTTGTATCCAGATACCTTGCTAATCTCACTTAATTCTGATAAGTTTATCAGTGGGTTCTTTTATGCTTTTTTCATGCCCAATCATACTGACTGAGGATGTGATTTCTATTTTTTCCAGTCTTTATACCTTTCTCGTCTTATTGCAATGGCCAAGAACTGCAGTGCAGTGTCGAACAGAAGTGCTGACAGCAAGTCTCTTTTTTCTTGTTCCTGATCTCAGTAGAAAAGTTTTCAATATTTTACCATTAAGTATGAAATTTGTTGTAAGATTTTTTTAGATACACTTACTAAATTAGGAAGTTAATTGCACTTATTCCAAGATTGCTAAAGTTGGTCCTTTTAAAAATTGTTGAAATTTATCAATCTTTTTTCAGCTTTTGAAATGATCACACAATTTCTCTGTCTTATCCATTTACTGTGGTGAATCACATTGATTATTTTTTCCAGGTTCATTCCTAAAGTAAACCACTTCGGTTGTGATGTAGTAAAAAAATTTTTTTTTACTATCTATTAAATGCATTTATTCAAATATATAATGAATTCCTTTTGAAAACATTTTGTTTAGGCTTTTTGCACCTGTGTTTGTCAGTAAGCTTGGCTTTGTCTTACTGGGGTTCCTACCAAAGCAGACCCCGAGACAGGAGGGGCCTGGGGTACTGGGAGGTGACCCCAAGCAGCACATGTTTGGGAATGGGGATGTGTGACAGGAGAGGGAGAAAAGCCAGTAAGTCTAGGTTAGCGGGCGGGATACTGCTGTGGGCAAGTGGGGGTGCCATCCCACTGCGGGTCCTCTGAGCAGCTCTGTGGAACACCCCTCAGACTCATGCCTCCTGGAGAAGGGCATTTATTTTTATCTTATTTCTCATTCCCCATTGCTTTAGAGTTGCCTCAAGGGGAGTTGACTCCCCAACGCTACTGCTGTCTGCAACCAAGCAAGTTCCTGGGGTGCCAAAGCCCTCAGGCAGAGAAAAGAGACACCGATGCTCAGGCTGAGACGTGGTCAGGTGCTGGAACCTGTTTACTGCGTGTAATAGTGGGTCGGCGAAGCCAAGGGCATTCAGTGAGTGACAGGCAGCAAGCTTCTGCTACAGTCCACCCCTTAGGCTGCCCTACTGCATCTGCTCTGGGGCTGTTTCAGAAGCACGCCCTTCACCACTGAGCTAAACCCTCCCCCTCAGCCACTTTTCGATTAGTGTCTGCATAGTATAGTGTCCCATCCTTTGAAACTATCTGTATCCTTATGTTTTATCACTCTTAAGCTACATTAAAAAAAATCAGTCTGACAATCTTTGCTTTAATTGGATGGTTTATTTGCATGTAATTTAATTACTGCCCTATTTCAGTGTAAACCCCTTCTCTTACTGTTTGCTTTCCCTTTTCCCAGCCTATTCTGTATTCGTTTCTTCCTCCTTTCTTGCCTTTTGGGTTATTTAAAAAATGTTCTAGTTTCCTCCCTCAATTACTTTAATTATAGACCCTCTTGCTCTTCTTCAAGAGTTTACTCTAGAGAAAACATTACTTGCCAAAGTCTAATATGGATTCATTCTGTCTGTTCCTGTTCAGGTCCAGGACTTAAAAGAACCAAGTGCCTGACTCCTCGCAGGCCTGTCTTATTTCAGAAGCTAGGGCGTTCTGGGGGTTCGTGCAGCCAGCTGTGCCTGCCTGCCTCCCCTTCTCAGTGCTCTTCCTTCAGCTTAGTTCCACCCGGCACCACCCTTGGAATTTCCTTCAGTGCTGGTCTGTGGTGATGTGTTATTTTCCACTTTTGTCTGGAAGTGCCTAACTTTCACTCTGAAAGGACTTTTTTTCCAAGCTCAGAATTCTAGGCTAGAAGTTATTCTTTCAGCCCCTCTAAAGGCACCTTCCCACTGCCTTCTCACCTTCATCATTTCCATCAAGAAGTTGTCTTTAGTAAGTCTTATTACTGATTTTTTAAGGTAATTTGTCTTTTTACTTTGACTGTTTAAAATTTTTGATTTTCAGCAGTATTACTATTTTAATTTTTATTGAAGTATAATTTATTTATAATGTGTTCATTTCTGGTGTACAGCATAGTGATTCATTTATACATAAGGTATACATATAAAGGTATATATACATAAAGG